GAAAAACGTGAACTACTTGATCACTATGGTTTTTATTCGAAAAATTATTACAATAGAAATATCTTATTTGAATCCTTGCTGTCTCTAACTTCTATTTCTGACTTCTAGATGTCTAACTTGTGAAGCTATTTTGCCCCATGTTTTCAATAGAAAATGACTCATTTCCGTATGCAAAACCCTACATGCATTTGTGTACATGCATACTAAAATTATGCATACATATCCTGTAACTGTACATGCAAAATCCTCTGAAGTATCTAAACTTGTTTAAAAAATAACAGCGAAATGCCTTTTTTCTCATGCATCTCTAATCATGCTTTCAAAAGAATGTGTATTTTTTGCACATCCAGTCCAGATTTCTCAATCTGTCCATCAAGTTTATAAAAACTAGAATTAGAAACAAAACATACTAACCATGCTTGATACATCCAACAAATCAAATTCTGAAACTAGCCACGTTTTTCTACACCTCATCAGGGAAAGTATCTGTCACTTCCAACCTGCTTCCAAATAACAATGTCTCCTGGCCTATGGAAAACTACCAACATCTAGAAACGGATTTCCAGATCTGCATTTCTGCTGTACAGGAACCAGCACACAATGCTCCAGTCAATCTCCTCATTTTTTGCTCTCATCTTTCCCTGAACACAGTCACCAAGGTAATTAGCATTAAATTACCCATGTTGTAAAGCATTGCTCATTATTATTATGAAAAGGTACACAAAGAATGAGAGTACATGCATTACAAAAACCCATTTGTCTATAAATTTAGTAACCAGTGTGAAGCATTATTTCAAAGTTATGCTCCAGGCAGGTTTTAGCAACTCATTTTGGCTGAATGGATTTTAAAAGCCTTGTAGGTAGTCCTAGCATAAATTGGTCAGCCATGTTCAAAAAACCCAAACATATCAAATGCCTCAAAAGCATTTTCTAAAAGTGAACTAACATGTAAGCAGCTGGTCCTCAGTGCTGCAAGTCTGAATCATGGCTCATTTTTCTCAGAACGGTTCCCACAGGTCGTGTCCAGTTTGTTCTGGACAGCATAAACAGGTGCAAAGCATGCTTACTGCAAAAGTGGCATCAGTGAGTGTCACCCTGAGCCTCATGCATTTTTGTATCCTGACAAATTATCTTGGAAGGCTGGACTGCTTGCATCAGATAACATGAAATCTAGAAATGTTGTGAGTCCTAAGAGTTTTCAAAATAATAATTTTAGCCCAAACTGCAGCCCACTGCTCCAGATTTAATCAGAAGCTGGAAGTCTCACTGGGCAAATTTATGTCCTTAGTAGGGCACAGATTTGACATCACAGACATTGAGCAGAGGAATTAAGATCAACAATCACTAGAACATGCTAAGATCCTGCTAAGTATGCTATAAAAGCATCAGCATGAGAAAAGTCAATCTAATCTTTCATCATGATTCATTTAGTACCACACTGCACCAAAAGGAGCATTGCAGGCTGGGGGACATGGAAGAACCTGTAAGTTAGCCTGAAGTTATGTCTCAAGAGATTGCTCAGAATGAGAGAACATGGGGTGCCAAGCTAGAAGAGATGGCTCAAGATAAAAGACTGTTCTGAGACACCTTGGCAACACAAACCGACATCCTGTTGTTGTCAGGGAAGAGCAGAAGTTGTGGGCCAGCAGACTGGTGAAGACTGGTTCTGAGACTGGGTCAGACCATGGTAACGTCTCTTTATGGGGGCGCGTGACCACCCGATGGCCACCCAAAGACCCCTGGAGTGGAACTGAGAGCACAAGCTCTCTGCATGAACCATCAGAACATGCGCAGGTGGAACAACAGAAGGATGACGTGCAGTTGTCATGGTGCTGGACCAGGTAAAAGGACTGTGAGAGACTTGTCACATTAGGGTGCAGATGCTGCTGGGATGGTACTGGCAAGCTGCACAAGAGGGAAATGGTACATGACAAATGTGCTGTGGTCTTGCCTATATCATGTATTATGAACACTCCCTGGTTTGAGCTATCCCCTGGCCAATGCCCAGGCATGGGTAAAAACCACACGAGGGAGTATACTAAAAAGTCAGCAACAGGGCAATCAGTGGCCAGTGCTTGTGATCCTTGGCAGCCTTTTCTTTAACAATACAGAAACTACCACCATTTCCAGCTATGACTCCTCAGATTTGTCTCCTTTTATCTATCATCTTTTGCTTCCTAGATATTTGGGTTCCCAGTTTTCTGGGTCTGTACTCCTACAGCATCTCACAATATCAGCTCTTTTGCATTCTAGTGACATGTCTTTCCACAACAAAATAAACTTCATATACTTCAAAATACAAGGAAGCAGATATGTACCTTACACTTGTGGTACTAGGCTACTGTAAGGATTCAAGACTAGTTTACATCACCAGTATTTCAAAGAGAAGATGAAGATTTCAATATAGGTAAAATTTATGAATTTTAAAATATTTGGGTTTATTATTGATCATTTTCTTACCTTGTTTTAGCCCAGCACAGAGCTATAACTGCAAACTTCTACTAGATGTCATGTTTAGCTAACTATAATTGCTTTTTAATTATAAAATATATAAATACTGAATTATCTATGTATCTGTCGTGTAGTGTGTAATTTCAGCAAGCTTTAATGCAAACCATGTAGATGTTTTACATCGTTCAGTCCCTAGCATCTAGAGCTCAGCATGTATGTCGTCACTTAAGCACCTGCCTACAGCTTCAGACTCGACAGGTACACGTATGCCAATTATCTGCAGCAACTATTTTGCAGATTGACAGCTACACAGAGACCTACAACTCCATAGAGCTGGTCGAGTCAGAACAGTTGTTAGGTGTGAATTAGCTTTGAAAAAAAGATTTAAGTTTTCTGGGAGGTAGGCTTGTATTTGGGGATTGTATACCATCTCATAAATATAACATCAACAGTCTACATGACTTCTTGCTTTGGAGGAACTGGAATAAATTAGTATAAATGCATGACTCAATAGAAGGAAAATAAAGAAGGTAGAGAGAGCTTTGATTTGTATCCTCCCGTGTTTCACTGTCAAATTTTCACACGAGCAAATGTGAAACCTAAACAAAATAGTTGCAGTGCAACTCAACAGCTCCATGTATGTCAGCTATCAGTAGGAGCTACAGATCTTCAACCAGACTGAAAAACTTCTGTTTAGGTCTCCAAATATAACGCAGTAGCTTCAATGTTACAGCCAACCTCTATGTTTAAAAATTTCATCTACAGAAGACAGATATTGTCCAGAAATATGTACAAAATTTGAGAATATGAGAGTTGTGTAATATTTTTTTCACTACACTTTACCCTCACTAAAATGAACACTTGGGATTCAGATAAGTGTTTGTTATATCAACCTATTCACCATAGCAAGAAGATTTAGCCAATTCTTCCATCTAGATAATAAACTGAGCAAAAAAGATTCACTTTGACCTGATCCTTATCTACCTGTAACATTATTGCTTAAGATTGTCAGGATTATCAAGAATATTGGTAAGAAGGAGTAACGGACAGAAGGCATGGAAAGGAGAGGTTTTGTTCAAGTTCAAGATACTTTAGAGTTAGGCCACAAACTTTTAAAACCCCCTGCCCCTACACATCTATCACAGATATATGTATGCTCAGAGCGTGTTTTCTCCAGAAGCTGGCAAACCCACGTACCTATGAAGAGATCACATGACACAGTTAATGTCTACAGGAATATACTTAAGATCTTTAGTTGGGAAATGTTCCATCTAAGAGTTATTACAAAGAAGAAGTAGGTAAGGTAAGACATGGACATAACTCTTTAGTTCTTAAAGTGCTTGGATTGAGGATGATATTTAGGTTGCAAGACCATGCAGTAGACAGGAGGATGGTGTTTCCCATCGTGGTCAAAACCAAGATACTCAAAGGGAGAGACAGGGCAGATTAAGAGGTCTAGTGCAGATACACTGCTCTTGGTAATCTGAAGAGAGATGTCAGAGAGAGACCAAGTCTGTTAGCGTGAAAAAGAGAAAGCAGATTATCTATACAGAAGCGGATCTGTGAGATACCCAGTCATATCTGCAAATGAGAGTATCCATATTCCTGAACAGAGAGAGAACAAGAAGGACCAAAGATGGCTCTAAGCAGAAAATATTGACGAGTGGTGAGGAAGATGCTTAGAAGAATATGCTAAACAAATAACCAGATGAATGAGAGAAGGATTCAGTGAAATCAAGAAAAAACAAAGTTTTTCTCACTAGCGAAAATTAACAAAGTCAAGAGGTAACACCCATGTCTTTCAAGAGGTACATTATCTAATGAGTGAAGCACACCTAATGTTTGCTGCAAAGCTGCTCTTCTTATTTTTTGGTATATCAATAAAGAAGATGCTTATTTTCTCCTGAAAAGTAAAGGGACATAGTTTGGCAGTAGGAAACAACCTCTACAACTGCTGCAACCACAGGTTTAATTTTACTGTATAAGCTAGTGAAACACAAACCTTCAGAGATTTTGGTTCAAAAAGTATTTACAGAGGTACACTTTTCTGCAACTATTGTCCTTTGTTCTGTTTTACACAAGAGAATTTGATTTCTACACTACTATTTAAAATCTTTAATGATATAAAGCTTAAGCTTAGGTCTCCTTTGATAGCTGTAGCTGGGCAAACAGAAGTCACTCACTCAAAACCAGACTGGCTTTCATAAACAATGGTTCAAGAGCATGAGACCCAAACTTACTTCTACATAGTGCTCCAATTTTTAACCTTCCTTTTGGTCAAAAGTCTGATATCTTAATTTTCACAATTAATGAATCTCTGTGAACTTAATTATCACCCTCCAGAAACAACAATGCTACTATTTGTATGTTTAACAACTCATTGCAATGCAGTAAATCTGTGCAAGACAAGACTGTTATCTGAAATGAAATGCAGTAAGGACCAATTTTCTTTTTCATATTTATTTCCTTCTTAAGAACTTTCTTGGTCTTTAAATAGTGCTGCCCATCTGTGCTAAAAAACAGCTTGCCAAAGGCTAACTTTCAAATACCTTGACAGTAATGGCTTGCGTGTTGCTCATCCTGGAAGGGCCGGAGACGTGCTGTTCCACCGCTTTCCTGGATTCTTTCACAGTGAGCAGAATAAGAGAGTAGGAAGTGACAATTACTCCACAAGGGAGAATAAAACAGAAAACAAAGAGGACTAGAGTGTAAGACATGGCCACAGTATTCACGCTGGTGGAACGCCAGTCAATGCAGCAAGCTGTGCCATAGGGCTCCGCTCCATATTCTCCCCAGTGAGCAAGGGGACAACAGGCAAAAATTGCTGCATAGATCCAAGCACAGGCTATCAAGATTTGTCCATGTTCTCTCCTGAACCTGTTCCCTGGAAGACACAAAACAATCAGTGAAGATCAGCATAGCTGACACGTCTGCATGGAGTTTCCTATATGCAGGCAGCTGAGCAGGGTAATTAAGTATAACTTCAATAGGTGTACAAAATATGTTAGCATATTGAAGGTTTGTAAGAATAGGGCATGGTTCACAATTTGTAAAAAAATTAGGTAGCTGAATTCTCTGGTACATCTAGGGTACTTAGCACAACATAAATCCGTATGAATAAATCTCTATCAAAATGGAGCAATAAACTCTAAAAAAAATAGTTTATGCAGGGTAGCCTTGCTTTCAGATCAGAAATTTTATTCTACGTTTCCAAATTTTCACCTTGATTTAAAAGAGCTTAAAAGTAATCAGCTGCGTACAACTGACCCTATAGTTAGTTATCAGTGATCACAGAAATAAGAATTGTTCTACTGGATGTAAAAGATCTCTTCTATAAAAATACTCTCTAGGATGTACAACCCAGAAATGGTGGTCTACATTCACATGAAAAAATTAGCAATCTAAGACAGAAACATTAGCTTACCATAAGCTGGGAAACAAATTTTGAGGCACCACACGGTGCTCAGTAATGTCAGCGTTGAGAGACTGCAGATCCCAAACAGCACCCCACAAAATGCATAGAACAAGCAAATCTGTTTCCCATACAGCCACCTGGCAAATAAACAAGAAAGTGAATTCTCAGATGCTGTTCTTCTTTCTTAAATGTAATACTAAATGGTTTAAATATAGCTACAGCTGTAGCCTTAAAAATTCAATACATCTGCATGATTAAACTATTTGTTGACAATGTATTATTTGTTATCAATTATTAACTAGAAAAGCTATTCTCACTTGAAAAACCTACAGCCAGTAATCAAGTCCTGCTTTATTGTTATGATTCACATTTAAACCTTTTTATTTTTATAAAACAAAGTAGTATATCTTAATTATAATCCTTCAGAAAAGAAATATCAAAATGTTGTCACTAGTAGGCCTAGGTCATGAAGTAATACAGGTCATTATTTCTGCTATTTTATGTGTACTTTTAAAACTAGTTTTCATCAAAATCAGCACGTTCTCTTGTGAACGTTCTCGAGAAGAACAAAACTTCAATCTGAATCACTATACTTCCCCACTTTCTATTCAGACATGAGCAGCAGTTGCAGTAGCAGTTATCAGAAACCCCATTCTAGGTTTTGAAGAAATCATGTCCACTAGTCAATATATTTAGCAATATTTTAACACAGAAAGGAATGCGGTAAAAACTGAGTCATTACTGGATTTTTTTCTCTTATTTTTTCATTTTGATGCAAAAATGAGAGAAAATTAGATGGGAGAAGGACAGAGAGACATTTTTTCACATCAAATTTGGTTAACTAAAAAGAAAAAGATTACCCAGGGGTTATGTTGGTGAGGTGCTCACCATCTCTTTTGTTAAATATATTCTTCTTAATTACATTATTAAACACATATTCCCAGGTTTCTCAGTAAAGTGATTTGGGAAGCCAAATCAGCACTACACATTCACATTTGTACCGTTGCGGGACATTCTGCAACAGCTGGGATAGACCAACATGTTACAAAGATCATCCTCTCTCAGGCCTTGCAGAACGACTCCTGACAGCCAGTTCTGATCTTCATTCACCTTTTCCATCTAGTTCCCTTCTCCCACTTTCATACAGCCTGGGTTGCACAAATACTACCTGAGGTCTAGTAATGAACCTCCTAAACCTCACAAACTTTAGAAGCAGATGAGAAAAAAAAGATTTTCACAGTGATATGGTTTTGAATTCATGTGGATAAAGAAGACAGAAGTGGGGAAGGAAGGAAGAAGTCCTAAATTCAGAGCATTGGACTAAAAAATAATCCCAAACACTATGTTTTTATACATCATCACTACCACCGCTTTTGGAGATCGTTAAGTAAATTCAGGGTTTTCTTTTCATGGTGCCAAATTTCACCGTCCAACTGAAAAAAAATGAAGCATCTCACCACTTGAATAATACTACCCACAAAAGATAAACGCGGTAGAAAGTGTGGATGTTTGGAAAAATCTTCTCAGCCCTGCAAAAATCAAAAAAAAAATAGGGACTTCAAATAGACATGAGTGCTAGTTATCACCAGCAGTCCATAAAGCTGCTGCTACAGAGCGTACCCCTTTCAATCCCTCTAATTGATTCCCATTTTTAGGCAAGCAAAGTGGCAAGGCATTTAGGTCTTCATCACTGACACAGACCTCCAGAGCCTGCAGAGGACGTTAAATATTGCGTGCATAGTGAACAAACCTGTGTGAAAGGCTGGAGGTTACAGCTAGAGGGTACAATGTCAGAGTCATACCAAGGTCACTGATGGCAAGGTTAATAATGAAGTATTCTGCTGGTTTCAACAAGTTCTTCTTCTTGTAAGAGACATATAGGAGAATACTGTTCCCACACAAGGAGCATATTCCTGAGGAGAAACACACAATATGAAGAGAGAGTTACTTTTAGCCATCCTATCCTTTTTTTTTTTTTTTTTCTTGCACAGGGATAATGTGCTGTCATCACAGCTAGCAATTATCAAATAAATTTGTCTCTTTTTTATCTTTGTGGTTTTCTCTTCTACATATTTCAATATTTTGGGGGAAAATTATCATTTTTTCCCGATTTCTTACTATTTTGTCATCAGTCTACAAAGATCTAATGAATAATTTTATCCATTCAATTAACCGACCTGCCAAAAAACATTTTTTCCTGTAGGAAGCTAGTATTATAGAGACAATAGAGACAATATCCATCTGGCTCTGCACACATTTTCCCTTTTCCAGGTCTAGAGCTCCTCATTTACTAACCCTTCTTCCCTTTTCTTTGAGGCATTTTCTCAGAGGTGCCTGCTATATAGTTCCTAGTAACAATAGGCAATATAGCAAGAATGTTAAATTATGCATGAAAGAGAAAAATGTAGTTAAGTAGTGTCTCTATTGTGTGTAAACAGAACTATTATCTCTGGGAATGCTGGTTTTACTATGAGACTTGCCGAGAAGCTTAAGAAGGCTGTAAGCAGTCTAGTAGAAGACAAGAAATTTGTTCTCTACCTTTAAACTAACAGGATGAAAACCTGTGATGGATACACAAAGTTAGGTAACAGTTAGGTGACCATCAGTTTAGAAGGTCAGACAACAGTCAAAAACCAGACTTCTAGGAAGCCTTTTATAGACACACAAGAACACCACTTTCAAATATAAAAGCTTCAGAGGGCCATGGACATGAAAATACCCAATGAATGGGAGGTCTCTTAACTAATGCCACGTGAAATCAAGTTGTTGAAGAGACACCAAGTGCTTTTGTGGACCTTATTGCCTGTTGCTGCATACCTCTGGAAAAAGCAACGCTTTACCTACAGAATATAGGTAAATATTGATATAGAAATTGAGGTTAACAAGTTGCATAGAGACCACAAACCAGCTTTGGCTTTTTATTACACCCATAATAGAATATGCCTCATTTAGTCATACCCTCATAGGAAAAAAAAATATGGAATTTTCTCAAATTTCTACAGATTACGATATTTTCAAATAAGGAAATGGCAGATTAGCAAGTAACGTTAGATACTGGTACTAAATTCCTCTCCGTCATTGATCTCCTTAAACCTATTTAAGATATTTGTAATTTAAAATCTTCTGGAGGGATAAAATATATTCTCCTCGAATTCTGCTCCTGCAAATGTGCAACAATTTTGTTCCAAACATTTTTATTCCAAGATTTCAAAAATATAACAATGAAAACACAGTAAAAGGCAATAGTTTCATTTAAAATTATTATTTCCATTTTTTCCATGTTTTAACGTTTTTCAACGTTTCAGTTACATTTCAATCTGATTATCACTTGGTATCTCTAAAAGGAACATTATCTAAGCAGAATCAGGTTGGCTGAGGTCAAGGAGCACAGATCATCAGACTATCAGAATATGCTCTCTGACTGTTTCTAGGAAGATTAATTCTAACCAGAACATAGAAAATGTAGCCACATCAGAGATATCAGTTGTACCAGATATTTTCAGTGGCTATACCACAGGAGAGTCAATCATTACGCTTCTCCTTAGCAAAAACTCAATTTTACTTTTTGCTTTTATTTCCTATGGTGTCTGCTCTTGTCTGGATTAGCAGCTCAAGTCCATACACAGTATTTTACCATGCATCAACTGACATCATAGTCTAACATCATGGCTAACTGCATAGTCAAATCCGTCTCTGTTCACCCACATTTCCATCGTGAAATTCCTGGAGGGAGAGATCGGAAGGTTTTATCTAAAACAATTATTTTTCCTTTTTAAGCATATAATTTTTATTTCAAATATTTTGTGCAGCTTTTACAAAATACTACTTACTGGAAATCTCTTTTCCATGTTTCCCATTCCTCCTCATATTATCAAACACTGGAATAAACTGCTTAGTGAGTTCAGGGAAAGTTTTTCAGAGGTTTGACAAATTTTGCTCAGGAATGGTATAAGAGGTCAGCAAATGGACTAAAAGCTATATCAGGATCTCTCCAAGCTCCATTTTCTGGAGCTTGCATCTGTTTTCTAAGCAGGGCTCTTCAACAGCTTTGGCACAACTGACACGGTAAATACCGAGGATACCTCCTGAAAAGAGACTCAGTGATCTGAGCGTGGTTGATTAGCATGGGATCCAGAAAGAGAAAGTTAAAGCTAAAAACAAAGTTATGAGGCAACACTGTGCTGTGTGACTAGCTGAACAAAGATGGGAGAGGAGAATATGGGACAGACGTTGATGAAATATTCACTATTTTATCAGTAATGTTGTCAGTAACATTTATTTATTGTTGATAACATATAGAAAACACCAAAACCAGACATAAAGCTAGACCAGAAAATTTTAAGTCCATCTGGCACTAGAAAAACAGCATGACGTTTCTGATGAGAAATTACCTTATTGTTTGCTGAACCAGCTCTGCAAATTCAGGAGTACAAATACCGCAAAGACTTCTCTTTAAATTGATCTGCATTGTCCAGCCAGGCTACAAGTCTCCTCTCAAACTCAGCTATCCATATACACCCTAAAACAAATAGGGCTTTCATTCATTTAATTTTTTCAATCAAAATGTTGAGAAAATAAATTGAAACACATGTTAATCTTTGAAGCCATCAGGATGTAAATATTCATTTACAGGACTAAAGACCTAAGTTCACTCTTTGTTGGTGCTATATTTATTTTGCATTAATCCCATGCTTCAGGGCTAGTTTTGGTTGCCTTAGGGAAGGAAAGTTTCTGTTAGGACATTAATTTGGCTTCTACGCTGGTTTTGGCTTTTTTTTACACTCTTCTGAAGCACCAGACATCAGTCATGCCTACTGACTGCACTTAGCCAGGTTGGCCATTGCTCCCCCAGGTGTCTGGGTTGCCTTTCCTGGCCTCTGGCTAATGGTTACACTGATCAATACCTTTAGGACTGGATCACGATTTCTCTTCTCTGTCAGACCAGGACTATGGAGGATAAATTTTCCTCGTCTCTAACAGCACAACCCTCTCCCCAGAAATCTCAGCTTCTGAGGCAGTGACTGGATGTTGGACATAAACATGATCTTTCCAGCACCCTTCCCAGACATGTCGTAATTATGGCTTCTGGTATTTTACTTCAGGCATTACGAGGTGTCAGGATATGTTGTTCGATAGTTTGCAATGTCTGGAAGAGGTGCTTTCCTGTTTAGACTTAACAGTGATTACACGGATGCTGAGAACTGACGGCCTCAAAAAACCAGCATTCTTATCCAGCTTTATGTTCCTAATACTGAATAAAGTTTCTGTACTTAACATAAATCACAGGTTAAAAGCCTTTTAATGATTTTAATCTATGCTTTTTTTCCCCTTTTTTGTGAATATAGAGAAGTTCATCAATGTCAGAAACCCCCTTTTTTATTAATATAGAGAAGTTCATCAATGTCAGAAACAAACTTGACTTTTACAGTCAAGTCTCCTTACCACATCAAATATGGCCAAAGCACTATAAACACACACGCCATGAAATTACACTTACCAAATACCATGTAACATATTCCAACAACAATATCAGCTGATTCTGTTATTTTAGACTGGAATGTTGAGTTACCAAAAGATGGTCCCATCTGAAAAACAAACCAGGACACAGTATTAGAGTTTCAGTAACCAAGCAGACACCTGTTAGCTCTCTGCAAGGCTACAAGCTGTTTTATGGGGAGAGCAGACACCTGTGAGCTTTCTGCAAGGCTACAAGCTGTTTTATGGGGAAAGGACAGGGAGAATTTAATTTTCTTTTATCTTCCCAATTAACAAATAATTTATCTCTCTAAGGATGGAGACAGGCTTTTTTCAGTGGTGCCCAGTGCTAGGACAAGAGGTAATGGGCACAAACTGAAACATAAGAGGTTCCCTCTAAACATCAGGAAACTTTTCCTTTGCGAGGGTGACCAAGCACTGGCACAGGTTGCCCAGAGAGATTGTGGAGTCTCCACCCTTAAAGATGTTAAATAAACATCTTGACACAGTCCTGAGCAACTGTCTCTCAGTGGTCCTGCTTCAGAAGGGGAGTAGGACCAGACGACCTCCAGAGGTCCCTTCCAACCTCAGCCATTCTGTGATTCTGTGTAATTTACAGATGAAACCACAACCTAGAACTAGTGTTGTGGTAAACTGTTTTCTGTTAATTTGAGGGACTCATCCAAATCGAAACCACAACCTAGAATTAATGTTGTGGTAAACTGATTTCTGTTAATTTGAGGGACTCATCCAAATATAAGAATGTCACAACATTACAAATGCAATTGGTGAACAAGGGTGTATTATATTTTGAAAAGTTGTCTCAGTAAGGTTTTGTTCCAAAATGTCACTCATCACCACTTTACAACAACCAGAGGAACCAAAGTAGGAAATCTTAACAACAAAGGGTACAGAGCAAAAAACTGAGTGAAATGTAGGAAGAGCATCAGAATAACTAATAAATGGAGTAGGAAATCTTAACAACAAAGGGTGCAGAGTTGCATATATAAACCTAAAACAAACAAAAAACTGAGTGAAACATAGGAAGAGCATCAGAATAACTAATAAATGGAGACAAGAATGTATGAGCTACCATGCACTTAATTCTAAAATTTCTTTATACCATTTAACTTGTAACTTTACATAGGGATGAGTCAAATTAATTCTCTCTTTCTGTCTTCCACAAGCATTCCTTTTACTTCCCATTACCAGCCTCGACCTTTCTGAATCTGTCTGGTTGAGTGTACTTGTAAACCTGTCTATAGAAATTCTCACTTCTCCAGCCCAGAAATTGGCAAAGTATATGAATGCGTAGAGGGTTGAACTTATATCAACAGTCCTTCCTTTAGTGTATAGCTCCTGCCATTTCCCTTAAACTGCAACAGATTGAACCCTCTCAAATTTCAGAAAGTGGGTTATTAAATTTAAAAGAGTCTGTATTTTAGGTATCCTGTGTGTCAACTCTGAACATAACTGCAGGTGTCAGTGTAAAGTCTTCATCAAAGAGGCATACAGGGTGTCAAGTCAATGGGATATTGCTCAGCTTTTCCTAGAAAAATCCTTTGTGAAGAGGGTTACACTAATGAAAAATAGCTTCTGTCAACAGTCTTCGTGTTGGTCTGAGATACATACTGGCGTAACTCAGAAAAATGGCAGAGTTACCACTTACCGTCCTCTTCCATTCCTGTATTCCAGGATCCTGCCATGGGACCAGCCCTGTGATGCAGTCCAGGCCTTACTGCCCATGCAGGTGAGTGCAGGATCAGAGTGAGGACAGTAACGCCTGATCAATATCTCAATACACCTGCTAGAGCTAAACCCAGATACGGTATGATACAGGGTTCAACACATCATACAATTTAAGGGCAAAGACCTCAGGTAGAGCTGTGTTCTAGCACAATCAGAAGGAAAGAAGGAAGTCTAGCAAAGGCTAATCTTTTTGTTTGTTTTTCCTCCTCTCACAGACACTGCTGCTGTATTGTCTTAACCAGTATTAGAGAGATTATCTGGAGCTGTTCTTGACAAACTGAAGTGTAGTTACCACTACTGAAAATATGATGACAAAAGCTCAGCAAAATCCTCCAGATATATTCACAGGCCTTTGCCTTGCATAATGACAAATACATTTCCACTGCCAGTGATTTTTCACTTTCTCTTTGCTTCCACTGAGTTTCTTGTTGCAAAGGGAAAGCTCCTGTCTCAGGCTCGATCACTGTGGACAGCAAGAAGCTCTTGCTCCGTCCCCAGCACAACAGCAGCTCACAATGAAGCAGCAACACTTCTCTACATGTATGGCTTGAGGGCAACACGGGCAATGTCAAAGAAAAAGCGCCTGGAGAAGTGAAGACATCTTAACAAACACCTAAATCTCCTAGTTCACATAGCACTTAAACCCACTGCATTTCAGCTAACTGGTGTGTATTCACATTAAATAATGATCTTGTAGATGCATTTCTTTCTTTCAGT